CGTCGGTCTCTGCACTAGGTAAATTCCCCTTCCTTCGACCTTCGTTCTTAATGTGGAATCCTCCTTCAATTTAAGCTAGCTGGAATTGATCAGCCCTATGAGTTTTATATCCGAACATATCTTACTGCACGCAAGCAGCAGCCGAAAAGTGGGATGGCATAGTATCGACACGCCCGATTTTCTAGAGCAATACACAGTAAATTAAATGGATTTACTTTGGTGGATACTGGGATCAAATGACGCTGTCCTTGCCTTTCAGGCACACCATAACCAATGACTGTGGTGTTGATTAATAAAAGTTCTAAGCAAGCGGCATGAACGATAAATTATGGGAGGGGGATGGCATAAAGAGTTGACGGGCACGCAGCACGGGAAAAAGGGCGTTAGTTGGCCACGTATAAATAAATAGGATCGGTAAGTCATCTGTGTTCCGCTACGAATGCTAAGCGACAAGTGAAACACTGAAGAAACAAAGCAAAAGATTCGGAATGTGTAAAAAGGCAAACTCTTTCATTTTAGACATTCTTACGTTGTACTGTCCTCTGCGGCCTTCTTGTCTTGCAACCTCAACAAGGGAGATTTTAATTTACTTGAGTATATTTGAAAAATATGATATGCTCTTCCTCACCATGGTGTTTCTCCAAATAAGTTATTTCTGTTGAGGTATACAATTGGAATGAGAGCTACCGGTAGTAGACGAATAAGCGCCCAAATTGAACTGAGTAGAACACAGCCAAGACCAAGAAGGAGCGAGTAAGCTAGCACGCGTCCATTGTGCCTGAAAGAACGTCATCGGCATAATCGGCTCGGTTACGACGCAAATATTGGGTTGATCCATAATTTCTGGCCGAATTTCACACTTTGATTTCTTCAAGTTTTATCTTTCCTAAAAACAATTGATCAAAAACATAACCACCATCATAATCACTGATATGCATCCACTTTGCTAGGGAACGAATGGATGCATTCCTCCCAGAACGAGTGAAGCTGTGAATGAAAAGTTCGGAGAGGTCGTTTTGGGGTGGTTGTATTTACTGACTTTTTTTTTTCTCTCCAAGCTGCTGCTTCAGGGAGCTGAGGAGGTGATAGTACGATGGAGCAATGTCAGGGCTATACGACAGATGTGGTGTCGTGGTCCAGCCAGTTTCCCTCGAAACGTGGCGAGTTATCTTTGCAATGTGATTTCGGGCGGTCCTTCGGAGAAAGGAGATTTTGAGACGTTTCGAACCGTTCTCCCGCACTGCTGTAGCCAACTTCGGGAGCTATTCCATGGTCACCTTCGCAATGCTTGTCTGCATAAAGTGAAATGGTTTCCAAAAACAGGATACCCAGCGAATCCAACGAACCGGTGGTTATATCATCTATCGAGAGAGCTCATGCTTTGGTCGAGATGGTGAGTCCAGGCTGCGAGGTAGCCACAAGGCGTGCTGTGTGTTGTTATCGTGGTGGACTCATGACTCATCTGCACTAGTGACCAACTAGGGAACGTCGTGCCTATATGGTCGAAGAATGAAACTTCTGCAGATGGTCAGGCGTGCCTCTCGAACATGATCAGTCGATGCCTGCTGTTTCCATCGAGTCTCCATTCTACTACAGCCCCTTTCGCTCAGGTATCGACTCATGGAGCATAGGCTGCGTCCAGGTGTTTGCTATAGTTTCCTGCTAATAGCGTCAGGATGCACTTCCTATTCGTTGCGCAAAAGGTCCTCATCCAAAGTGACTGGAGGTCCGTGATGAGGTCGAACTTTGTATCTATTATCGCCTTTGCGTATGCTGTTGAGCCAATAGCTCAGTGCTCGATCACTAGCAAAGACTAGGGCAAACGTAGCGCTGATCTTGCTACCGCTCTCCTTGCAAGGTCCTTCTTAAAATTGTCGCAAGGCAAAATCATTGGATTTTGGTCGTTGATCTTTTTTGATTCCTACTTGATTTATCCCGTTGCGCATTTGAGCTTCTGAAACATCCTGGTTGAAGGTCCTGATGTGTTCTTCAACATATCAACTTATTTCGATATGAAGTTAATTTGACATATTGAAAATTGAATTTGAAGGTTGCTGGCAACTGTTTAGCATTCGTAGTATGCGGCGCTAAATTTAGAGAAGCTCTACCGGGTATTGAGGTATGGACTATATTCGAGTAATGCGTGCTTCGAGGAAACGCGTTTACTGTCTCATGAACCTTAATAGGTAAAAAAGAAGGAAAAATCAATTTACGTTCTCTCTGAGTCTCTTTGACATTCTTCGCTTATCGCCTCTGAAAAAGACTACACTAGAGTACTTGTATTATGCTTTCAGAAAACGCAGAATGCAATCCGCCGCACCACTTAAAGGACGAATTCACGCTGGGAAGGCAACCCATTTCAAATTAACTCAGGGATGGTGATTGGTACACGAAAGAAGGAAGAACCATGAGAAACGGCCCAGAACCCGAGAAATGGGACCCCTTCCTTCCCCGCTGATTTGCGCATTGATGCGACTCTTATCGCTGTGCCCTCCTCAACATCACGCTCTCTCTGCTATCTAATCAATCCCACGTATAGATCTGCGGCGAGTGATCAGCTGGTCGGTGGGCGGAGATCGCCAGACCCGCCAACTTTGAGGCATAATAGGTCGCCGAGGTCAAATTTTTCGATGCGAATTGCGCGTCAGTTCGCACCCTCAGGAGGTCCGTGGGTCCCTCAACTAGGTCAGTTTCCCTTTCCTTCGACCTTCATTCTAATCGTGAAATCCTCCTTTAAAGGCACCACGAGGGAAGTGGGCGGAGCGATCCTCCTTTAAGTCGGGTAGGACAGACCCATGAAAGCAGATTACTTGCAGTTTTTCGTCGCTCAAAAGTAACAACACGCGCGTCTGGTGTCCGGAGTCTGATGAAAATGTGCTGATCGTGTCATTGGCCACGTCTACTATGGTCAAGGGTAACAGTCAGTTATCTAAGGTCGGCCATCTAAGGAGCTGGTTGCCGGCGAGAGGTCGGTTTTCACCGGGAGGCTAGCCTAAGGCAAACCACGTCAAGGGACGTCTCACCACGAGACCAAGCTGGAGCGCCTGTCATCTCAAAGCCGGCCATGTCCTTCTTTGTTCCCCTTCTAGGAGGGACCGTTCAACTACCTCCGATCAGCAGATATGATCCGTATGGAGCACCGAGGAGTTCGAGCGTACATCGGGGTTTATTATGTAAGCCAGCAGGTGGTACTCAACTGGGAGGTGCCAGGGAGTCCGCGGGAAGTCGTCTAATGCATATGTATAATACAACTGAATTCGTATATCCCATTGCATCATTATCCCAAGGTTCAAATGGCTTTAGCCTGGTCTTATCTGGCATGCATTTGTGCGTATCGTCGGCAAAAGATCTGCACCCCTATGGTAGCCAGAAGTATACTGCTCGGCAGAATGAGCTCCGGTAGGTAGGCGCCCCCTGTGTCACGGGGTTCTGTTCCGCTTCCTGAGACGTGCGCGGGAAAAGTGTAGTGGCACTACGATGGGAGGCTATTTAGAAGCTTCGAGGTCCTGTGGGCCCCACCTTCTGCGCTAGTGTCCTTGTCCTTATGTTCTTTCATCTGTTCTCTCCCATGGTCGTTCGATATTTCTTTGTCCTAGCGTCCACATCCTAACAGGAAGCCCTTTGAATGTTTCGGCAGTTTCCTTTTTGCTCATTGTTGTCTACTTGGCACTGCTGTTTTTCGCTTCAAAAGAAGAGCCACACCTTGTGATCGCAAAATGTGCCATCATTCGTCGGCGCGAAAATGGTGATGTATGTAGTTGCCAATTATATAGGCTCCTAGAGCAATGATGAAAAAAAATCACTGGGAAACCTCAAAACACAACCTTCATGCTTGCCGTGGTTCCGGTATATCATTAGGAAACATTTTTCCCAACCTAACGAAAGTCAAAATCTTCACTAGCTAAAGGTTAGAAGTTCTTCGCGGGATTTCTTGCATCCAGATTATCATAGGAACTGCTGAAGCAAGATGACCAATATACCCAGACCTGCGGTGCGTGGAAGGCTCTCTCGGCTTGATGATTTCGAGTGCTTGGCTTGAGCATGGAAGATATTGATATTCTGAAAGAAAATCTTCAGGAAATGTTTCTTTGAAGGATAACAAGAGCTCTACCATTTTTTGTAATCGTTATTATGTTATCAAGCAGTTTATTCTTGTGCATTAATTGCAAGAGTACAGGTGCTGTCCACAACTGCGGAAAAAAACAACAACACAACCTTCAGCAAGGTGTTTTGCTAGCATGCACCGTTTGCCATTGCCTTAGGTCGGCTGGTCTCTTTTTTCTGTTCGTCGACTTGCACTCTCGTATGGCCATACGTATGTATGTGGTCGAACACCATACTTCCTGGTCAAAAAACGTCACCAGGCATCAATGATACGATAACGCAGTTGCTGTTGAACGCAAGAAGAAGGGGTATGTGGTTACGCACCGAAAAGAAAACCAGGAGAAGCGATAGAACAGAACCCTTATTCCCTTGATTTGTTTTCTGGGCTAGACTGCCGCCACGGCGCTAACGTGAGTGCCTTTCCTCTGTGCTAATAAGGCTAGAGTGAGAATTCCAGCGTCCAGTATCCATCGGAGGCAGAGAGAGGCGCGAAGGTGTTTGAAGGGACGAGTGAGAGCGTATCACGTGCCATGTGTGTACACTTTGTCGTCAATGCGCCACGCATCGTTCCTCTAGCGGCTCCGATCAGCATGGTTGGAGCATTTTCCCTTCTTCAACATCCAATTTCCCACCTGCCAAAGCAGATTGGGACGCAATTGTAAGAAGCTTGCAGAGGCAATATCCTAGAATATTTTCCTTTTCACCCAGAACAAACCTTTGCATGCCTTCGTAATAACTTCGTATAGCATACATTATATAACTCCACCATTATCGAACGAGCCTTCGAAATACCAGGCAGAAGATGACCTCCATTCCGCCCTAGAGAGCAGAGCCTTATTCTGTTTTCGACAGTGTTACTCGCTAAGCGTTCGGTTGACAGGCACGACATGATAATTACACATGATTTCATCTGCGTGATCCCGATCTTGACGTGTTGGGAGGAAGCTGTGAGGCCCCTGGGTTCCGGTCGTGTGCGAAAAGTTGAGACACAGAGGCATAAAAAGTTAGCGCCTTGATCTGCAATACACACCAATGCGTCGTCAGCATCATCCCACTGTCCCGTGCCACGCCATTTTATTCTCGAGCTCTGACTTCAAACAGCCGCTGGTTGTTATCAAGTTAGGTGTAAGTTTGCTCATTTTTGTCACTACGATTCTGAAGTAACCAACAAACGTGTGTTAGTGAACAATAATGTCGCACTACATTAGAGTTGGAGGTCTCCGCAAATGTCGCAGAGCATTAGTATGCACAAAGACTACTCCGAGCTGTTGCCCCCGATATATACTAATTCAAAGAATTAGTAAAATTATACAATAAAACTTTGGCGGATCTGACGCCCGTAGAGTTATATTTCTGTTATGTTGACCTCTCTTTTGCGCCAGTTCAAGGGAGGGAGGGGAGTGTGGGGGAGTCTGCATGTTCAGTACAACGGCATGAGGAATTGGCGTTAGAGCTGAGACCAGAGTCAACCCTGCGTTGCGCAGTTCTCAACGGCCACGTTGCGCAGTTTCGCCCGATTAGACACGTTCTCTCGCGCGAACATTCACACTCGCATGCTCGAGCCGTCTGCGTCTCCGCCCATACAGCGTGCGTTGAGGATCTCTCAACGTGCCGTTGCGAACTGCGCAACGCAGGGTTGACTCTGGCTGAGACCTGGGACAGAATTTGAAAATCACAAGGCATAGCATAGGTGGACAGTGTTTTCAATGGCACTGCGACTTCTAATCACGTAGGAATACACGGTGTATCCTCAGAATGCTCCACATTTCAACATACACATTTTGTTAAAGCGAGGGATTACGATAAGTTTGGACTGGGTTCATAGTGGAAGTGGAGATGCTGAATAATGCCCCAGTGGCGAAAAAAGCAAAGAAATCCGTCAAGAAGGCGCAAAATGGGACCCCTTTCTTTGCCCGTTGACCTCCGATAATGGACGAGCTAGCAACCAATTAGGAGGTCGTTTGCACATGTTATGCTGATAGCCTCTATCATTTCAGCAAGCATCATGCTTTGATTGATCACGCATCCCATGAAAAGTTATAGGATACACTCTGGAAGTGGAATATCTCGTCACATTGGCAATCGAAGGGCGCTGCTGCTGGCACTAGGGCGGGGGCGGAGCACAGACCGTGGCGGGGCTCAGAAAGGAATGGCAAGCCTTGTACGCTGCAACTAGCGCACCTTTGACCACAAAAACGCAACATTTCGTTTCCTTGGGCCCCTGACTACTGCTTCCAATGGTGCATGTACTTCCACGCTGCATACGCACTTTATCGTAATCTCTCGCTTTAAGATGAAACCCGACGTTACACTAACCAAAGTGCAATTTATTGGTTTCTAAAGATCCCTTTAGGATATTATCAAGTTAGTTAAGCTCTATTTGTTAACAATAAAAGGGTTTGTCGATCATTGAATTTCCAGGCATTGAACCTGGGGAGATTTCTATACGATCGCTCCGCCGTACAAAAGGTTCGAATAAGCTTGTGAGCGCTTCAAGTTTGAACGGTAGCCTCGTTCCAGCAGAAAAAAACGGGGCTATTTGTTGAGCGAGTCGTTTCAGAGAATTTTCAGTACTTTTTCAGAAGCCTTCGCTGGACCTAAATCGGCCCTGCGCCAGTTTGTCCTGCTGTGGGATCTCCATCTACTACGGCTCATCTGTTTGAAAAATAACAACGTGAGGAAAAGTGCGCTGTGATACCAACCTCCAACTTTGAAAACTGTTGCCGTCCAATGGAATTGGTTACAGAACTGAAGTTGTTAGGGAGACCAGTGCTCATGTTCCTGTGATGGCAAGTAGGGCAGAACTCGGAGCAGCACTGTGTGCTTTGACATTGTAGACCTCGGCTTGCATCTTCATAACATTGCTCGAAAGAATGACTTGACGGATTCTCACAGGAATAAGCATAACGGGCAGGAACAGCTCCGTGAACATAACACGTTGAGCACGACTGTACTGTTTCTGAATCCTGAAATTATTGACGCAGATAACAAGAATATTTTTATGACTGTAATGTCACGGTCAAAGCTTTCCTCTCCAGCTACGGCGGTTTCATGAGATTCGTGTTTTTTCTGCCGTTCTACCCCCATAAGAGAAATATGCATCTTATTCTTGCCCTCTTTTGTGCTAGGTTGTCCCATAATTAGTGAATCACTTTACATTTATTGCTATAAAAAATCAAGAAAAATGGTAAAGGCGTGAAACATGTTTTGCGAAGTAGCACCCACATTATCCTACCTGAGCATTTAGTCAGCCCATTTACACGCTGCCTTACGTGGCTATTACATCAATTTTTCTAGAACCTATTTTTGAGCTTCCTTCTTCATCACTTCTGATTAGGATCTTTCGCCAACAACATAGTGGATCAACCAGCAGATAGGCGAGGACACACTCCTTCAATCCACGGTTCACTCTATTCCGGATTTGGCTTTTTCATTTGAAGATGACCCACACTCCAACTACCCCTCTACTGGCAATCTTGCTGCTCTACCCAGCGCCACTGAGATTGGATCTGGACAAAGTAGTCGCTATTTGGCCGATGTCATAGTTTGCGAATCGAGCGATTCGCTAGCGAATCGCTGGATCCGAGCGTTGCGCCAGCGAATCGAACGTTGCACCAGCGAATCGAACTTTGCGCCAGCGAGTCGAACGATGTACCAGCGAGTCGAACTAGGTACCAGCGACTCAATAGTGGCGGGACCCAACGTTTAAAGGAAGCCCGCCACTTTCAAACAGTGTCCACTGCAAAGTCCCGCCACTTTCAAACAGCGTCCACTGTCACGTGACACTGTTTGAAAGTGGCGGGCTTCCTTTAAACGTTGGGTCCCGCCACTATTGAGTCGCTG